TAGAACAAATGATGCGGATGAATGGTCTTTATGAATGGTTAAACATTTATGTGTTTATATATGTACTGAGCGAACATTTACATAGTTATATGTCTATATATGTATGACACGAACATTTACTTATTTATCTTCAATTATCTTTCTGCTTCAGTTATTTTCCTTATTTTATTTCATTAACTATTCATGTATCTACCTGCGGTGGCCACCACAAGACAAACAGTCTTATTCGGTCTCCGCATATTCAACTTCATAACTTTTATTCACTTATTTGATATGTTGTTGATTATGAATAAAACTTTGAAAATAAATAAAATAAATAAATATATAAATATATATATATATATATATATATATATATATATGTTGGTAATAGACCATAATTTTTACAATATTCTATAAATTCTACTGAATGTATCTACATTCGGTAGAATTTATAGAATATTGTAAAAATATATATATATATATATATATTATTAATAGAAAACTTAATATAGCGTTCGTTAGCAGTTTTCACAAACGCTATCAAATTATAACTAATATTAATAACAAAATAGCAAGAATGAAAAGAGATGAACAATAATGAAAAAAGGTATGTCTTTAATTGTCTTTTAAATTCAGCAATGTTCATTCCAGGCATTCTGAGGGCTGACGGCAAGCCGTTCCATACGACAGGGCCTGACACAGCAAAATCACGCGATCCAATCTTTAGCTGTCTATGAGGAACCACAAGAATGTTCGAATCGTCAGACCTCAGACGCACACCAGATGCGATCGACGTTTTTAATTTCAGTTTATCTGATAAATATTTTGGAGCCAGACCATTTCGTGATTTGAAAACTGTGACAGAGATTTTAAAAACAATTTTTTTATTATATATATATATATACTATTTGTCTACTCTACTTTCTTGATTCCTTGTTTGTTCAAAGTGAATACACTTCATTCTCTTTTTATGCAGTTTTTTTTATGCGGTTTTAGTTATGCGATGTAAGAAAAAAAATTTTATTCGAATTTCGAAAAGTTAATTTTTTAAGTGATTAACATTTTCTGAAAACAAATAAGATTAGCAACTAGGAAAAACTCTACTATTACGCAATCAATACAAAGAAAAAAATTTTTTTTAGGTATATGCAAATTTATACCTGGAACTTTTTTCTTTTATTGACATTTTTACTGCCAGTGGTTTTAAAGCTGCTAAAGATCGAGTTACTTTATTTCTGGCGATCGAATGTTAAAACTGCAAACCGCAGCTTGTAAATCGATCTTTAAAACCACGTGCATTAAAAGGGAAGGCTGAAGAAGCATTTCTATGCTGATCTGATGACGTAATTTTATCTTGAAGTTACGAAAGTGATCTTGCACCAATCCACGAACGGGTCCGCACATTATCAGACAGCGAATAATGATGAAAACATTCTTAATATGATTTTAAATGAAGTTTTGTAAAAAATATTCAGACAATTTGCACAGTTATCTAAATGAAAATTATAAACACTGCACAATAATTATAAATACTTTTGAAATATCACTGATAGGTTTTTTTAACATATTAAGTTTTGCTTTTGTTATTAACATACATATGTGCCATCTATTAAAATAAGATGAAAAAAATTTAAATCTTATTATTTATAAGTCTTTTTTATGCGATTTCTGGTGTATTTTAAAACATTATTTAGGTTTTATGGGATTTTTGTAATGAATGGAACGTATCCATCATTTTGCATATAAACATGTCTTTTTCCGTGCGATTCTTTTATATGCGAATTTACCTGGAACGCATCTACCGGATAAAAAAAGAACGAAGTGTACTTAACTGTCATTCAGTTAGTTTTACAATCTTCAACTTTTACACGTTTTCATTATCGATGATTTCTCTGTTTCTAAATTTATTAGTAGGAAGAATTCCAGTTGCCCGTTGTTGAATATTTATTATCGGATGTCTTTGTTCTATGAGTATTGAATCGGCTAGTCGTAAATTATATTGGTTGTTATTGTAATGTTAGATTTCAACATCCAAGATTTGTCTAATAATTTTAGTTTTGTGTTTCTCTTTTATGTGATTCTTTATTGCGCCATTAATTCATATTTCATGTTGTCTGTTGTCTCCAAACTTTACCTTTCCTCTATTTTATTTGTAAGATTTCAATATAGTCCG